AGAGAGAGAGAGAGAGAGAGAGAGAGAGAGGGAGAGCAAGAAGAGGAGGGAAGGAGGAAGACGGAGAGGGTCAAGGAAGGATGGACAGAGAGAGAGGAAGAGGGAGAGAGACAAGGAGATAGAAAGGGAGACGGGGGGAGTAGAGGAGGGAGAAAAGGAGAGAGGAAGGGAGAGAGAGAGAGACGAAGAGAGGAAGAAAAAAACGAGAAATACGTATTTAATTGTGCGACTAACGCACGAAGGGTCGTTGTCGTATAATGGCGTATAATATGTACTCGAGGTAACTATTTGATATGGTTAGGGTTAGGGTGTTAGGGTTAGGATTAGGGTTAGGATTAGGATTAGGGTTAGGGAGTAGGCGTAGGCGACATACTCGCCGACACCTCGGGTACTACATATACGACAACGACCCCTTCAGCACGACTAACCGTTAGTACAATAACTTCCCAACTCCTACACCACTAACCGATGCGAGAGACTGTTCCCAAATCGTACATACACAGCTACCTAAAACACAGCCGCAGACGACAACTGCCGCAAACTATAAACAAGAGACGAGAAAATGCCGAATGAAGAATGAAGATTAACTAAACTGGATACGTCATAATTGCCTCAAAACTGAAAACAATCAATGCAGTGAGAGTTTTATCTCACAGATGTTTGCCGGTATTTTTTTCACCCGGGAACAATTCTGGCACAAGCTCTCGGCTTTTCGCGAGCGCCTACCTTCTAATTAGAGTAGAAAGTAGGCGGATTAGAGCGCGGAAACCGATTCGAATGTCGCGCGCGCGTGTGACAATGTCCAGCACCCTTCGTTATTACATCATCATCTGCATCATTATTACATACATCGCTTATACAATCGTTATCGTTATTCTACAATATTACATGTACAATCATTTATAGTCGTTAATATTTCGGCCATCGTGGCCCATCGCGTGGCCGTTTTGATTAACAATTAACACACAGCACCGACCTGTGGCGCGTAGTGATGTGCGTACATCACCCCAACCCGGCCATCACAGATACCATGGACCTACGTACACGTACCGCGAACATACGTAAACTATCATAGTACATACACCAGCGTAATCGTATAGCATACGTATAACATCTAACCCAACAATGGCTGCTAACCAAGAACTACATCGTTAACACACAGTCGATACACACATCGACGGACGACAGTCCGAATGACGTCACGGCCGCGAACTCTGACCTCTCGCGCTCCCCCGTGTCCCTCGTCGTCACGTGACGTCGTTACTATTTTCGGCGATGCTTCCGAGGGCGGCGAGCCGACGTTCTGTGCGATGTTTGAGCCACGCGAGAAACAAGTGAGCAACATTGTGGGGAGGGCGCCGAAGAAGCGGCAACTCGTAAGATTCTAGAAATGCGTTTTTTCTGGACGTAGTAGGAATTAAGAGTTACACACGCGAGAAGAAAGTTTTACGACCGACTAGACGCATCAGCTGAACTTGCGCATGCAAGCATTTATAATTAAAAATTTTAAAATAGACCAAAACAATAAAAAGTACGAAGCCTGTCAACTGACCGATCAACTGAACAGACGTCTCTTTGGGACATTTGATCTTTGACCTTTGATCCACCTTGACAGAATGACTAGCCAATCATTGTTGTGATACGGGCATTCTAAACAACTCTGTTTGGTAACGCAGTGGTGCAAAGTGGACAAGTAGGCCTGTGCGTGTGTTAAAAACACACATAAACTCGTTTAGCCAGACTGATCCAGCAGCAATATCAAAGGGCAAAGTGGTTATCCGACTCAGAAAAATAGGTAAATTCTGCACACTTGCACAGTGAGGCAAGAAGAAAGCCAGATATCGCAGTACATCAGTGCTGAATGCAGTAATAAAAAATTGGACACACGAATTTATCTTCTCATTCGAGGCTCACTTCGTAAAAAAAAACCCCACTAATCTTTGGTCGAGTGCAATAAAAAAATAAAAACGCGAAAAAAATCGAGAAGCAAAATGAATTGCTAGAATCTACCGCGCTGTCCTTTGTTGACGTTTCCCATCGCTTTCACGAACAGTAAAAAGAAAAACCTTACTTGGTTGGACTCATACCTCTGACCGGCTGGACCGTACAGGGGCGTGTACAGGATTTGGACCAGGGGGGTCTAACCGTAACCCAAACTTGCGAGCACGCAAAGGGGGGGTCTGGGGAAAATTTGTGAAATTAGACCCCTCAGATGCGTTTTCTGCGCGAGCAGGGGGGGGGGGTCCAGGCCCCCTGAACCCCCCCCCATGTACACGCCCCTGCCGTAACTAGACCCTAGCCAGTGGGCACTCACTGCTCTGACTTATCCTGTATGCCATAGGGATGTGCTCACAGAACTGCTCCGAACTTTATTTCACCAGGGGGCGCTCACTGCTCTGACCTGTATGCCACTAGGGGGCGCTCCGCCGCTCACTGCCCTAACTTTAATTCCACCAGGGGGCGCTCACTGCTCCGAACTTTATTCCACCAGGAGGCGCTCACTGCTCTGACCTGTGGGCCAGCAGGGGGCGCTCTTTGCTCCGACCGGTAGGCCACTAGGGGGCACTCACTCCCCCGACCCTTATTCCACCAGGGGGCGCTCACTCCACCAACCTGTAGGCCACAAGGGTGTGCTCACTGCTCCGAACTTTATTCCAAAAGAGACATATAGGCCAGCAGGGGGCGCTTACTCCTCCGACCTGTGAGACACCAGGGGGCGCTTACTTCTCCGACCTGTATGCGAGCACGAGCGTGGACAGCTCTTCGCACATCGTCTCGTGGCCAGCAGGGGGCGATCATTGCTCCGACCCGCGGGCCACCAGGGGGCGTTCACTGCTCCGACCCGCAGGCCAGCAGGGGGCGCTTACTTCTCCGACCTGTATGCGAGCACGAGCGTGGACAGCTCTTTGCACATCGTCTCGTGGCCAGCAGGGGGCGCTCACTGCTCCGACCCGCGGGCCACCAGGGGGCGCTCACTGCTCCGACCCGCAGGCCAGCAGGGGGCGCTTATTTCTCCGACCTGCAGGCCCCCAGGGGGCGCTTACTTCTCCGACCGGTAGGCGAGCACGAGCGTGGACAGCTCTTCGCACATTGTCTCGTGTCGGTAGGCGACGCGTATGTCCGGCACGTTGGTGCGCGTGATGTCGTTGCCCTGCACGCCGGGCAGCCGGTAGTTCTCTCCCAGCCAGTGCTGCTTCACCTGTACCCAACACACACACACACAGACATGTAAGACACAGATGTAATACACGCACGCACGCACGCACGCACGCACGCACGCACGCACGCA